TACATATATTTCAATAAATACTTACCCAATTTTAATAATTTTACCACTATTAAAATCAGAAAAATCTATTCTACAACTTTATTAGAAATTTAAAAATAGTTCACTAATAAATTTTTTTTAATTTTAAAAAAAAATTTACTAATAGTTTTATGTATAATTTGCAAAAAGTATCCTCTACTCCTATTAAGAAAGAATCATATCTTCCTGGCGTTGTCTAACTTTATCTTTTTTATTTTGTATTTCATCTGTAGACAAAGTTGTAGGCCCAGATAAAGAATTCAGATCTGCCAACATATTTTCTAGTTGTTCCAGTTCTACATCATCATCATCATCATTCGATACTTTGATAGTATCTTCATTGTTATTTATCTGTTGAGGTATTGAAGGTTTCGTAGGCACGGTTGTTGGGGATTCCTTTACTGTTTCCTTTACGGTTTCATTTGACAGCAAATCTTCTAACTCCTGTTCTAATTCATCATCTTGAGTATCAACTAAAGAGTCACTTCCTAGTTTCATGGCTTCATCAATTTCGTGTTGGTCTGCCAAAATATCTTGTAACTTATCTATCGTGGCGTCTACAGAATCGACCGTGAGTCCGGTTGAAGCCATAAAATCATGCAAAGTATTTGCGCTAACGTTATATATGTCGATTATCTATTTGCGATAAATGAATTATTATTATTATATAAGAGTTGGGCTGGTAAATTGGGTAATTTTAATTCTGAAATTATAAAAACGAGAAAATGGGTTATCATTACTTCTGCATCTGATGCTGCCCCTTGAATTTTTAAAAGAATTCTCTCAACAGTTTCCAAAGATTCAACCCTTTTCGACAAAACTTTTTCCAGGTGTATCTTTTGCCGCAAACGATGCTTCGCCATAACCTTTTGTTTTCGAAGAATGTAATTATGAATTTTGGTTGATACTCTAAGAAAAAGTTAAAATTCTGATAAGTATGCCAAAAAAGTTACTATAACTAATAATTTTGAAATACACACTCTTTTATCCGCTCTTCTATGTCATGAATTTGCTGATGTAATTTATCACAAGTTTCCTTGATATAAATGATCCCACGATCAATTGAAGTAATTTCGAATTTAGCATTAGCATTAAGATTTTTCGCTCTAAATTTAATAATCTATATTGATGGATCAAATTACATTAGTTAAGAGAATAATAAATCATAATAAAACATAAACAAAATATAATTTACCATGTCACTTTCTTTTTTATTAACATCTTCGTGCAAGGAATCCGTTATCAAAATTTTACGTTCAGATTCCAAATATGTTATTAAAATCTTTATATCAAACTCTGATAATGTAACATTTGGCATTGCTACAGCTGCAAATTCAGCTTTGAATGTTGATAAAGTATAAAGATTATCAGTGACCACGTTAATTCCATGTTTTTCTTGATGTTGAAGGACTCGACAAGCAGCTTCTTTCAATGTATCCATTTTAACCCATTTTGCAGAATAATAGTTTCCAGAACTAATTAACTTTTGTAATCTCCAATAAATCGGATTCACTATATATTTTGAAACTATCCAGCTTGTCCAGGACAGATTTCGAGAAGAAATAAACTCATCAGCAGGTATTAGTTCATTGTTCATATACATTTCTTGCTATAATGATAAAGTAAATATATTACTTGATCAAAAATTTCAATGCGAATATTTAATTAATAAAAACTTACAATGACTTACAATGACACAAGGCAAGCTTAATGGGCTATACCCTTTAT